CAGGATGGTCTCGATCTCTTGACCTCGTGATCCACCCGCCTCGGCCTCCCACAGTGCTGGGATTACAGGCTTGAGCCACCGTGCCCGGCTAAATTTATTTTTCTTAACCTCCTCCTCAATCAACTGGTCACTAACCTTTGTGAGATTTTATGATATTGCTGACAGTATATGTACAAGCATACCACCGAGATACTGTAGATTCAGTTCCAGACCACCATAGTAAAGTGAATATTATAATAAAGCAAGTCGTGCGGATTTTTTGGTTTCCCAGTGCATATAAAAGTTGAGTTTATGCTGTAGTCTATTAAGTATGCAATATTATGTCTAGAAAGAAACCCTACATAAAATGCTAATGATCCTCTGAGCCTTCAGTGAGTTGTAACCTTTTTGCTGGTGGAAGGTCTTGTCTCAGTGTTGACGGCTGCTAACTGATCAGTGTGGTGGTTACTGAAGTCTGGAGTAGCTGTGGCAATTCCTTAAAATAAGACAGCAGTGAAGTTTGCCACGTAGATTGACTTTTTCTTTCATGCCAGATTTCTCTGTAGCATACAATGCTGTTTGATAGCATTTTAGCCACAGTAGAACTTCTTTCAAAATTGGAGTCAGTCTTCTTTAAGCCTGCTGCTACTTTATCAATCAAGTTTATGGAATATTGTAAATCCTTGTTGTCATTTCAACAATGTTCACAACATCTTCACGAAGAACAAATTCCATTTCAAGAAACCACTTTCTTTGTTCACACATAAGAGACACTTTGGGAGGCTGAGGCGGGCGGATTACAAGGTCAGGAGATCGACACCATCCTGCCTAACACGGTGAAACCCCGTCTCTACTAAAATTACAAAAAATTAGCCAGGCGTGGTGGCGGGTGCCTGTAGTCTCAGCTACTCAGGAGGCTGAGGCAAGAGAATCTCTTGAAACCAGAAGGCAGAGGTTGCAATGAGCTGAGATCATGCCATTGCACTCCAGCCTGGTGATAAGAGTGAGACTCTGTCTCAAAAAAAAAAAAAAAAAAAAAAAAAAAAAAAAAAAAAAAAAAAAAAAAAAAAAAAAAAAAAAAAAAAGAGGCAACTTCTAATTTCTTCAAGTTTTATCATGAGATTGTGGCAATCCAACCACATCATCAGGTTCCCCTTCTAATTGTAGTTCTCTGTTTCTACCATATGTGCAGTGACTTTTTCCACTGAAATCTTGAACCCCTTGAAATCATCCATGAAAGTTGGAATCAGCTTCTTCCAAACTCCTATTAATGTTGATGTTCTGACCTCCTCCCATGAATCAGGAATGTTCTTAATGGTGAACATTAGAATGGTGAATCCTTTCCAGAAGATTTTCAGTTTACTTTGCACAGATCCATCAGAGGGATCACTATGTGTGGCAGCTATATACCCTTATAGAATGAGTGTTCATCTTTATCGGAGCTCTTGTGTGGCCACGTGCTATGTCAATGATCAGTAATATTTTGAAAGGAGTTTTTTTTTTTTTTTTGAGCAGTAAGTCTCCACAATGGGCTTAAAATATTCAATAAACCATGCTGTAAACAGAAGTATTGTCATCCAGCCTCCATTGTTCCACTTAAAGACCTTAGGCAGAGTAGGTTTAGCCTAATTGGGGTGTGGGATTTTCGGATGGTAAATGAGCATTGGCTTCAACCTAAAGTCACCAGGTGTATTAGCCCCTAGTAGGAGAGGTAGCCTGTCCTTTGAAGTCAGGCATTGACTTCTCTCTAGCTATGAAAGTCCTAGATGATGTCTTCTTCCAAAAGAAGGCTGTTTTGTCTTCCTAGAAATTCTGTTTAGTGTAGCCACCTTCATCAATGGTCTTAGCTAGATCTTCTGGATAACTTGCTGCAGTTTCTCTGTCAGTACATGCTGTTTGATTGTGTACTTTTTTTTTTTTTAATCATGCCACATGATTTTTAATTACGCATAAAGATCTAACATGTCACCCAGGGACCATTTCACCCACTGCTCTGTTTGGCCACCAGTCTTTTGTCTCTCTCTTCAGCAGTGGTGAGGCGGATACCCTTTCCTCAGGGAAGAGAAATCATGGTTTGTTGCTCTTGCCAATAACAAAAATATTGGAAAGTCAAGTGGCAAAGCTGTTGCCATTGGCATCTTTCACGTGAACCGCATCGAAAGATCCAGGGTGCCTCTCTCTGTTGGTTATCAACACCAATTCTTCCCAGGTTAGCACCCCCAGTCACCATACACAGGTTACCAGTGCCAAACTTGATGAAATCAGTAATCTTGCCAGTCTCCAAATCAGTCTGAATGGTATCATTCCCCTTGATGAGGGGATCAGGGTAGCGAATGGTGTGAGCATCATGAGTCACCAGATGAGGGATTCCTTTTGTGCCCACAAAGATTTTTCTCACTTTGCACAATTTGTACTTGGCCTCCTCAGGCGTAATACAATGTACAGGAAAGCGACCCTTGGTGTCACAGATCAGACACAAATTCTCTCCCGTCTTGTCATTGCTGATGACATCCATGAACCCAGCAGGGTAGGTTATATCAGTTCAGACCTTGCCGTCGATCTTAATGAACCGCTGCATGCAAATCTTCTTTACTTCATCTCTTGTCAGGGCATACTTAAGTCTGTTCCTTAGGAAAATGATGAGGGGGAGACACTCTCTCAACTTTTGAGGACCGGTGGTTGGATGAGGAGCAAACACACCAGTCAATTTATCCAGCATCCAATGCTTTGGAGCTGCCACCTGCTTCAGATGCTTCTTGGGACCATGAGCCATGGCTGCATTAGGCAAGGAAAGAGGACCTCCGTCTTCTGGTGAGCGTAGAAATTCTGATTGTGTACTTTTATGTTATGGGGATGGCTTCTTTCCTCAAACCTCATGAACCATCTCTACTAGATTCAAACTTTCTTCTACAGCTTCTCCACCTTTCTCAGCCTTCGTAGAATTGAAGAGAGTGAGGGCCTAGCTCTGAATTCAGCTTTGACTGAAGAGAATGTTATAGCTGGTTGGATCTATCTAGACCTCTCAGACTTTCATCATATCAGCAATAAGGCCATTTCACTTTCTTATCACTTGTTTATTCCCTTTTAAAAGTAGCACTTTTAATTTCCTTCAGGAGCCTTTTATTTTGCATTCATAACTTGGCTAACAGTTTGGTGCAGGAGGCCCAGCTTTCAGCCTATCTCAGCTTTCGACATGCCTTTCTCACTAACCTTAATCATTTGTAGCTTTCTTTCCTTTTATTTCTAATTGATACCTTATAATTATACATATTTATGTATACATTGTAATTATACAATTTTCTGTTTTGATACAGGCATATGTTGTATTACGATCAAATCAGGGGTTTAACGTGATGATCACCTTATACATTTATCATTTCTTTTTGGTGAGGACATTCAAAAGCCTCTCTTCTAGCTCTTTTATGATCCGCAGTATCTAATCATTTCTAGCTTTTGATTTAAAGTGAGGGATGTGGACTCTTCCTTTTACTTGAACACTTAGAGGTCCTGTAAGGTTGTTAATTGGCCCAATTTCAATATTGTTATGTCTCAGGGAAGTGGGAGGCCTGAGGGGAAGGAGGTGATAGGAGAGCAGCTGGTCAGTAAAGCAGTCAGAACATACACAATTAATTTCACTGTCCTATATGTGAAATTAATTGCTTTTTTTTTTGAAATTAATTAATTGCAGTTTATGGTGCCCCAAAACAATTGCAATAGTAACATCAAAGATCACTGCTTGCAGGTCACCATAACAAATGTAATAATAATGAAAATGTTTGAGAGTTACTAAAATGTGTTGGAGGCACAGTGTTGGAAAATGGCTGATCTTGTTTTACTTGTATTTCCTTACTCCACCTCATATTGTTTTATTACTTTTTTAAAAATATATTTATTTTTGCAATAGGGTCTCACTCTGTCACTCAGGTTGGAGTGCAGTGGTGTGATCTCTGCTCACTGCAGCCTCCATCTCCTGGGTTCAAGCAATCCCTCTGCCTCAGCTACCTGAGAAGCTGGGAATATAAGCATGCACTGCCACACCCAGCTAATTTTTGTATTTTTTGTAGAGGGAAAGTTTCACCACGTTACTCAGGTTGGTCTGGAACTCCTGGGCTCAAGTGATCTGCAACTCCTGGGCTCAAGTGATCTGCCTAACTTGACCTTCCAAAGTGTTGGGATTATAGGCATGAGTCACCCTGCCCAGCCTCATATAATTTTAAAGCAAATCCCATGCATCAAATCATGTCATTAAAAAAAAAGTTGAGTTTTTTTTTTCCAAGAAATAGGAAATTTTTAAAAACTGTAATATCATTACACTTAAAACATCAGTAATAGTTTGTAAGACTTTTGATTGAGTTTCTATTTTAATTGAATAATTTTTTTTTTTTTTTTAAGACTTTAGGAGCTTTTAATGCTTAGAGTGAAAAAAACACAGGCTAGGTTTTTCATAGTCATTGATCCATCTCTGACAAGGTGAGAATTTTCCCCTCACCCTGGCCACAGGTGGAAGCCCACACTCTCCCCTAGTAAGGTATTCAGAATGGAGAGGGGCTACCATTGTGGTGCAGTGCAGTGAATCCCTAACCCAGAGGCAAGAAAGAAGAGTATTGTAATCAGCACCCACAAGCCAGGCCCATGCAAGGCACTTTCAAGTGTTATCTCAATTAATCCTCACACCAACCCCAAAAGGTAGGCATCCCCATTTTACAGATGAGGAGCCTGAGGCATGGAGAGGTTTCTCAATTTGTCCATCAAAAAGTTCACAAGTCTCAAAGCTGGGACGAAAATGCAGGTCTGCTGACTTTCACTCTGCCACACTGGATTTTTCCTCTGATCCAGCTGCAGCCTCCCATAAGAAGTTCACTCTTAATTTTGTGTCCTGTGCTTTTTCTTGGTCCCTGTGAGGAAAGGGGTCAGCCGAAGCCAGCTGTTCTATAAGGGTGGGTTTCCTCTAAAATAGTAAATGTGACCTTAGAAATTACCGTCTAGGGCACTCTCAGCTGAATAGTCTCCCAAGGAAACAATGAGGTAGAGCAGTCTGCAAGTGCAAACATACACCTTCTGTAGATTCTCTACAAAGTGGGGTCCCATGAAAGGGACAATGTTCAAAGGTAAAGAAAGCAGGAATCAGCTGGGTGCAGTGGCTCACGCCTATAATCTCAGCACTTTAGGAGGCCAAGGTGGGTGAAGTTAGAAGGTTAGAAGTTCAAGACCAGCCTGGTCATGATGGTGAAACCCCATCTCTACTAACAATACAAAAATTAGCAGGGTGTGGTGGTGAGTACCTGTAATCCCAACTACTTGGGAGGCTGAAGCAGGAGAATCGCTTGAACCCAGGAGGTGAAGGTTGCAGTGAGCCAAGATCGAGCCACTGCACTCCAGCCTGGGTGACAAAGCAAAACTCTGTCTCAGAAAAAGAAAGCAGGAATCAGGAGGGTAAACCGGAGTAGTGTCAAAACTGCCACAGCAGATTGGAAGACAGTTCAACATATCATATCAATGTTTCACTGGAAACATACGTTTCCCAGCGACCAGGGAGCACAGGAGGACCTTTCGCTCCAGTCCAGGAGATGTGTTGTTATCTGCTTGCCCAAGAATGACTTCGAGGTCTTGAATGTGTCCCATGCCATGCCCCAAGGGCACTCATTTCGACAGCAGTGGCAGCAGCCCCAACTCATTCAGTCTTTCCTTGGCCACTGCCTCCCAGCCCGTGTTGGCCTGTGGGTTATGGGGAGAGGGATGCAGGAGCCCTTCCACCTGGACCTCTGGCATCAGGCCTGCCAGAGCCCGTCATGCCTGCTGCTCTGTCAGTCGCCCAACTCCCACCACCAGCCGCATCCCCAGCAGCGGCACCTGCCAGCAAAGGGCTGCATCACAGATCCCAAGAAGCTGTTCTCACTGCTTGGCAGGCAGCTCAGCAGGGGTGAGGTTGCGCCAGGAACTCACGGGAAGCCAGGAAAAGCAGAGGGCATAGATTGTGGACAAAGCAGTGATGGAAGAAGACGTCAGGCTGTCCACAGAGGTTCCGGAAAAAGACCCAGAATCAGGCACCACTCACTTCTGACTGTGGGCATTCCAGTCCCAGCACTGGTCGCTTAGGGTGCTCTTGGGGAGGGGTCAGCACAATCCCCCCAATGCCCAACCAGTCCCAGACCATGCTCACTTCCACAAAGGGCACCCCAGTCTGTGCCATGCCAAAAGGTCCAGGGTTCATGCCCAGGAAGAGCACTTCCTTGGGGCCCCGGCAGTAGCGAGTCACGTAGTTGCGATGTGGCTCCCATGCATACTCCACAGCATTGTAAATGATGCCCACAGGCTCCGAAAACTGCAGTTGACTCAGCTCAGCATTGAGCCGAAGCTCCTCCTCCAGGAAGCTCTCAGCCAAGCTTCCAGGGCTGGGCTGGAGCTCCATGAGGGCACCTACAGGCTCATGGGTGGACCCCAGCAGGAAAGCCTGGGGCATAGGCCATGCCACTGTCACCTGGTCCAGCTCCCCATCCTGTTTCCAGTTCCTTTCAATTGAATAAGTTTATATTCTTTACTAGAATGGAATGTAATAGAGGCCTATGATTTAGCAGGATCTAAATTTGGTGAAACGTTACAAAGAATCATAAATAGAGACAACGTATTTGATAAATTTTGTCTTGTTAAAAATATTTGTTGATGAAAAGTAGCCTAAATCAAGCCAAAGGTACTGAGTATTTATAAGTTTTAGTATTAACAAAGCTAAAATTAAGAATATGTTCTATTCAGCAGATGTTGCTCTGAGCTTACCAGGTATATCAGTATACTTAGAAAGAATATTTTCAATTACAATTATTAATGTCCCCTAGAAAAGACTCAGTAAAAGCTTTCAACAGTTTTAAATGTATAAACAATGAATTTGACAATTAACAATAAAAAATAACTTTGAAGTAGCAGGTAATCTTATGAAAAAATTAAAGACACTAAGATCATATTGAAAAAATATATTAGTAAAATATCAGTGACATTGTATTAACATCAAATATGACGAAAACGCTGATTAAATATATGAATGTCTACTCAGAAGAATTAATTTTAATTTTGTAATAGATTGTGGAAATGTACAAAATTATAATTGTGCAGCTGATTAATGCTCCATTATTTTTAAATGTTCACATAATCAGCATTAAAAAATTTTTACTTTAATACAGTTTTATTTTTCAATAAATAATTTTATTTTTGAACATAATTTTTTAATAGAATCATCTTATAAGTCCCCCGATGGAGTAAAAAATTTATTGATTAACTGTTGGTCAATAAAGTTTTTTAAAAACTGTATAATTTAACTTATTTTTTTTTTTTAATGTTCTGGTTCACTTTCAAAAGTGTTGCAGTTTGGACATTATATTATGTGGTTGCCTAACCAAGCATTATCAAGTACTTGTATATTAGATATGGATGTGGTCATGAATTGTGCTATGTCAGCCTATCAGCGGAGAACAGAGAGTTTCCACTGGGAAATGATAATGCATAGAACTAGTTTTCAAAGGGCCTTAAATGCCCTGTATCAGGATTATCTAACCCTGTGGATGTGGGAGCCTATTGTGGTTTTGAATTAATAAGTGATATGACAAAAGTGATATTATGGGAAGTTTAAATAAGGAATGAATATCATGGGTGAGTTATCAGTGGCTTTCGTGGTAAGCATGGGAAAGATAGAATGGCCAAAGCCTCGTTACAAAGGAAATTTTCTGGGACTTACTCACTGGGCTGGCAGTATTGAGGGAGACTTTGGAATCAGAGAGGAGGCCCGTTTTCTCAATTGTCTGATTAAAAAGGAGAATATCTCTATTGATAGCTGTAGGGAATTTAGGAGGAAGGGAAAGCATCTTTTGCCAGCAAGGTGATGTGGTTTTGGATGTTGAATATGAGGAGATGGTGCTATATTGTAGCAGTGATGGTTGCTAGTCCATTGGAGATAAAACCCCGAGTGAAGCCCAGTGGTGAGGTCAGAACTAAGCATTCAGATGGGGCTTTTCTCTGGAAGTTAATTGAAGCCATGAAAGTGAGTTCTTCACAGAAAGCTGTGTTGGAAAAGAATAATAGGCAGTGTCCTGAGCTTTGGACATCTCCTGCAGTTGGAAGAAGACAGGAGAAATGGTACCAGTGAAGTAGGAATCAGAGTACACCAGAGTCTTGGTCAGAGGGATAGAGGGGAACCCCAGCAAGGGGTTCATGGCAACCAAAAGAAGAGCAAATGTCAGTGAGTTATGTCACACGTAGTGATAAAAATCCAGAGGGCTATGAAGAGGTCATTGGATTTGGAACTCACTATTCAAAAACAGATTCAGGAGAGTAAAGGGTGAGTGACAGATGAAGAAATGGTGATAGCATCTATAGACTGTTCATGTTAGGAGCACATCAGAGAGATAAGAGTCAAATGTAGAATGTTGTATCAGAGGGGCAGAAACATCAGGTAAAACATTTCAAGATACTGGAGACCCTTACATGGAGGAAGGCAGAAATGAAAGACTCCAGGGGATAAAGGAGAGATTGAATGTTTTAAAGAAAGAGGGGAGATAAATAGGGAATATCATTCTAGAGGAGAGTGGAATGAGAAGAGATGAAGGTTTTAGCTTTGGAAATAAGAATACTATTAAAAATGAGACTGGAAAATGAGAGCATTAACATTATAATAGCTATTTCTATTCATTAAGCATCTATATTCTAAGCTCTTAGGTAAGTATGAACTCTTTGTAAACCATTGAGATATTGAGGGACATACAGGAGAATTGTGTTAAGACACAGACTCCTGCCCTCCATGGTTTATATGGGTTAAATGGAGAGAGGAGGCATGAATAGCATTGTGTGTAACCAAGGAGTTGAGTGAATAGGCAACGTGCTTTGGGTGCCTGGCGATGCTTTTGGGTGGCCTTATGCATAAGGATGTGAATGGTCAGAAAAAGCCTGATGGAAGTGAATGTTGGTGTGAAGTACAAGGAATAGTTGGGATTTGGATATGTAGAAAAAATTGGAAAATATGTTTCAAGGAAGGAGACTAGCAGATGTAAAAACTAACCTTGCAGAGAGCAGTTTCTTGGTAACAGTCGATTTTGATGGTTTATGTTTTATTCAGTTATAATAATGATAATAGCAACTAATGTTGCGTATTTACTTAGTGCCAGGTACTGTTCTAGAAGCATTTTCCATATATTTTTAATTCTCTGCAGTCAATGAAGTACTTATTGTTTTTACCTTACTTTCATAAATGAAGAAATAAAGGGTTAAGTAATTTGTACTAGATTTTACAGCTTATGAGGAGTGGGGTTGGGATTTCAACCTGAGCTTTCTGATCCCAGTGCTCTTGCTCTTAACTTCATCACAATTTTGCCTCTCAAGGATATCATCGTATGCTAGGAAGTAATGGCAGATTTGATTGAGGTCAAGTTATAAAAAGCCCTGAATACCGGGCTGTCAGGTTTGAACTTTTTTCATCCTTTAATGAAGAGCCGTCGGGGCTTTCGTCAGAAGCAAAGTGAGGTTATAAGATTGATGTTTTGGGACCATCCAGCACATGTTAGTGAGTGACTCTTTTTGAGAATAGGGATTTAACTGAGCCGACCTTTCCAAGGCCATTGATATGTATTAGACCAGACTTCTTATGATCAAGTACTCTGGCATTTTAATCATCCTGTCGGTTTGTAGATGCTGCCCTTCCTTGATTTAACTTTTTCATTCATTTTAGCTTTTGAAAGGATAAAATATTTTTATTTGAAATGGATTTATAGAGTTTCTGTTTTGAACTTACGTTATTCGTGGTGGAACTCACATTCCAGTAGAGAGGACAGGATGAACATGTGAAAATAATATGTACAGAAAAAAGACATTCTTTCCTTATTATTCTTCCTTTCTCATTGGTAAGCAGTACAGAAGGAAACTCTTAAGGTGTAACTTGCATAACTGCCAAGAAATGTGAGCACTGTGGTAACATCTGGGCTGTAGCTGTGACGGGTGCATAGTGAGGAGGCTGAAAGCTTTGCTACCATAGACCCCATTTCGAATTCTGGTAATCCCAAGGAGGATAACAAAGGCAAGTCTCTTCATCTTTCTGAGCTTTTAAATAATGGAGTGTATAATCTCTACCTGGATTTGCTGTTGGGAAAATTAGAGCCAATATTTGTTAGGTGTCTAACATATTTCCTGGCCTATAGTAAGTTCACAGTAATAGATGTTACATAATGGTTCTTTTCTTTTCTGTCTTTTGCTCTGTAGAAAACCATTGCTGCCCCATTATCTGTAGCCTAAAATTAGGGAGATATATCTTACGGGAGAATCTCACATGCAGATAACATATAAACACCTATGTTACCTTGTATTGTGAATTACTTGAAAAGACTGGACAAATATAAAGACCAGCGGTAGCCAAATCTAGACCAAGAATTAAGAGAAGGGCATTCATTAATTAATAGCCTATAGTAAAATAAAAAATATGTATAAAATTTAGTTGATCTGGCTGGGCATGGCAGCTCACGCCTGTAGTTCCAGCACTTTGGGAGGCCAAGGGGGGAAGATTATGAGGTCAGGAGATCGAGACCATCGTGGTCAACATGGTGAAACCCTGTCTCTACTAAAAATACAAAAATTATCTGGGCGTGTAATCCCAGCTACTCAGGAGGCTGAGGCAGGAGAATTGCTTGAACCAGAACCCAGGAGGAGTCTGGGCTACGGAGCGAGACTCTGTCTAAAAAAACAAAATAAAACAAAAAAAAAATTTAGTTGATCCTTTAGTTTAAGGGATGACACTGAAATAGAAGAAATAAATCTCTTTGGTGAGATCAGGAAGCTGGCAGGTTAAAACTTGTATTACCTCATGGAAGGAGAACCTAGAATTTAGTAAATGAGAAACTTGGTTATTTAAGAGTTGGCAGTGCACATTAGGAAAAAAATGAGCATCAAGCATCACTTTAGGAAAAGCTACAATGAGACATGGTTGATGTCACTCCTGGATTTTGCTTCGGTTTTTTCCTGTTTAATGATACCACATTCAACAACTCATCTGCTTTTGGGGTCATAGAAATGAGGCAGGGGTACAGAAAGAATGGAGAGTGTGGTGTGGCTTTGGGATTAGATTGTTCTACATTAACCTTTATTATATGTGACAGAAAAATTCAAAACGGTTGATCCTCTGAGGGAAATCAGCAAAAGTGTGAATACTGATTATTGAATATGTGGAAACTTTCAGGAGGAAAGGAGTTTGAGTAGTAGGCTCATAAGTGGTACCAAAGCAGATGTGCCTTAAATACTTTTGTAAAAATTAACTTTTTAGGTTTGAAAGTTATCTGTGTCCATTGTCTAGTGGTGCTTAGTCTTTGCTAGCCCTCAGGGTAGCAAACTTTAAATTTTATTTTAATTATTAAGGTTTAATAAGAATTGCAGTCACTCTCTTCAGCACACATATTTCACACTTGGATTGAGGAACCATTGTGTGCCTTTAAGCCAGTTATTTCCTTTGTAGGCCCCATTTTCTTCTAGGTCTCTTTTGAATTGATTTCTAAGTTCTCGAGTTGAATTGATTCCTTCAACACTCCTACTTCTAAATACCAGACAATCCCCAACTTATGATAGTTCCACTTAATAACTTTTTGACTTTATGATGGTGCAAAAATGATACACTTTCAGTAGAAACTATGCTTAGAGTACCCATACATCTATTCTGTTGATAACTTCCAGTATAGTAGTCAATAAATTCCATGAGATATTTCACACTTTTTAAAAATAAAATAGGCTTTCTGCTAGATGATTTTGTCCATCTGTTGTCTGATATAAGTGTTCTGAGCATGTTTAAGGTATGCTAGGTGAAGGTATTAGATTCAGCAGATCAAGTGAATTTAATGCATTTTTGACTGAACAATATTTTCAA